ACTGTGAATGACTGAAAATTCAATAATAACATTAGCATATCACTGCATGGTCTCCAGCAACCTATTTCATTGCAATTGGTCAAAGATTAATTAAAAAAGATGCATCCAAAACTGAAAAGTATTATTTTCAGGTGAAGTTCTCTAAGTTATCTAATTTTCCTCACCAACATGTCATATGCATATCATACCATAGCAAGTAATTCTATGCAACTCATGTCAATTTTACAAAATTGCCTCGTTTTCACATTGTATGTGTTGATGATGTGTGTGCATCTAGTGAAACACAAAAGATGGGAATTTCTCCTTAAAAAAATATTTAAACTCAATCCTCTGAAATCTGCCTTGCTCCAAAAAGAGGGCTCCACAGGCCAGTCATTGTTTGTACATCAAGGAAATTGTGTTTTATCAACCGAGTTGATAACGTATTTGGCCACGGTAAAGAGTTTCAAAGCTGACATTCTAAACATGACCCCCTTTAGTTTTTCTTCGTCAGAGTGAAAGATGAAGGCAGGGTTTTCTTTAGGGTTTTAAGTAGCCAGAGCTTTGTTAAAGGTAAACAGTTGTGGGCCTCGAAATCCAATATGGCGGACAAAGCGTCATGTCGTTGTACTTTCCTGCCACCGTAGCAAGATTTGTCAAAAAGACAGTCCTCATCATAACGTTTTTAAACTAACCTTGAGTCGGAAGTCTTTTTATGTTTTCGCTCTCACGCCAAAAATTCAGGATTATACTGAAATGTCAACTGATGAAGGGTGTGTGTTGTGTCTTTCGTTGATTATAATTATGTCCTCACACCTAATAACCAATAGAATGCGGTTTTATTTCTTCCAATCAAAGTGCGTTGGGAACGTGTCTTCTGCGTGCCACTTCCCAACTAGGGGAGGGATGCAATGCTAAATTGTGAGACGATCGTTAAGGTTGAGAATTTCATGGGCTATTCTTGTTTCATGGGCTATCCTTGATGCCTTTGGGACACTTCGGATTGGTGAAAGATTAATATTCTGGTTGCGTTTTTAAGCGCGAAGTATTAGTGAAATTTTCTTCGATACGTTGGAAAGCTCAGGAAGACGAGAATTTGATATTCCCTCGTAGCTTCCCTTATTGGTTTGGAGTGCGCTTATGATCGAAGTTGTGCTTTTTTGTCGGAACTAGTACTGTAAGGTAAGGTTTCGGTTGCATTTTATGCTAGTATTTTGTTAAATTTAAATATTACAACCATTCTTCAAAGATCGCGTTCAAGTTTTGGGCTAAATACTGTAGATTTCATGTGACGGCATGGTGAAGCGTTCCAGCAACTACTAACCTGGATTCATTGAATCCTTCAGGGACATGCCTTCATGAGACATGAATCCTTCGTGGGACATGCAAAAGTAGATGCTACATAATTAAAAAACAGGACAGATCTCGGTGTTTCAATGAACAAAAATGTGTGATTTTCCTCCAGCCTCATGATAATTTTTATGTTACATGTAGCAATCTCATAGTGTCTACAATGATGGCTGTTATGGATACAGTGGAAGACATGTATTCATTGTAAATGTATGGGACTACGCAAAAATTCAACCTCTGGTATGGTTGATGTCAAATATCACATAACCTGGAAAGTTAACTCACAAACTGCTAACACGTATGATGAAGATCTGGTCTCTTTCATAAAGGATAGGGTGCTGTCTCCCCATGCTCTCCGGCAAGCAACAGTTGGGTTACAATGAAGTAAATCATCCTCTTTGCTCACCCAGAAGGGACAGAATTGCAGCAGAATTACTCTTCTCCTAATGACATGTGCTTTTCTATTTAAATCAATGGCTGACATATGCCACTTTCTTTCTTTTGATCCATTTAGAATAAAGCCCCTTGTACTAAATTATAAAGAATTTGACAATGATATGTATGTTATATGTTACCACATTAGGCATGCTTTTTCAACTATGTCTTACAAACATTAAAATGAAATAAACACTAAGTCATGCAGAGATGAAAACTTAATTCAATACAGACTATTGCCTATTATTAGCAATTATTGCTCCTACATGTGTTAACAAGAACTTGGTCTTGTTGGCATTCATTCTGAGCATTTGGTGATCCGTATATCAGTGGAGAAACTCTCTGCAACTGTCTTTGCATAGAAAATACTAATCCTTTCACCCTTACTTAATTTCATTCATACAGGTATGGATGAGAACCAGCAGCAAAGCAAACAAAAGTGCTGATGAGGTGCTAAGCTCCATTGTAAACATTTTCTTGGCAAATTATGCACTAGTTATAAAAAGGTACATGTTGTGCTTAATTTTTGTCCTCAGTATAAACATCATTTTCCTTTGGTTTTGTTAATGATACGAATGAAAAATGCATTTTGTGTAAAGAAAGATAAAATTTAGCTCCTAGCCTAAGTTATGATGAGGTGATGTGTCACACTCAATTTGGCCTCTATTTAAAGTAAAAGAATTAAACTGAGGATAAAACTAAACCACAGCATACCTATACTAAACCCTCATTTTATTTGTATCAATATTACTATTTTTTCTGGTGTTCACCCAATAGATTCAATCCACTCACAGACAAAGATGGCACCCATGCATTTTACCATTACTCTTAGGCTAAGGCACATGTAGAAAGCAACATTTCGCAAAACAACAACATCATGTATGCAAGGTTTAAATTTTCAGACCTTTACTGCTTGTTTTTATGAGTGGTTCCAGGATTTCTTGTGAAAAGAGTTCTGGTTGAATGTACCAGTCGCCATGTTTTTTGGTATGGTGGTTTGCAGTAATTGTTGTATGAAGTAACCTTCACCAATATTAATTTTGTGAACTTGTCACTGACAGAGAGCTAGTTCATGATTAGACATTGATTGTTTCATTGATTGCCATGCTCTACATTTATCATTGTAATACTAATTAACTCCTCTGCCATCAGTAATCACATTAAAGATACTGTGTTAGAAATCACAGCACTGTACCCCAAAATCTAATGTCATCCTCAGCACAATTTCATTTTTTGAGCAAGGCAAAAGTAAAAATCAAACAAGACCACACAGACATCACCACAGAGACAACATTGTTATGTATAATGTTTATATAGTTGGTTATGTAAAAGCTACTCTATTCATTAATTCAGTGTCAATACTCTCCCTCATAGCAGCTATAATTTTTAGCCAACTTGGGAAATAGTGACCTAAAATGGACCCTTTTGGACATCCAAACTTTTAAATTTCCAGGGGAAGGTTCCCCAGGCTTTGCCATCCAAGTGGGAATAAATGGCTGCCACACTGTCATTTTGGTCCCTCCCAGCTGCTCAAACATTGTCCCTCCTTTCCACAATCTTACCAAAGCCACTATATGTGTAGTAATAAAAACATTGAAGTAAAGTGTGCTATCTAAGCAACAGATGATAATCATGCACACTTTTAAGTGAGTCATCCTAGCAGATGTTTGGTGAGGTATTGCATTTTGTGCTCAAAATCTATTTCACATAGACCTGGGAAAAAAGAATGGGGTGTAGCAGTCATTCAGGTCAGTTAATTGCTCCAAGCTCTAATTCGATACCACTGTTCATTTGGTAATCTTTCTTGCCAATACTCTCTTGTTAGTTGGGTTTTCTTGAAAACTCTTCCCATTGAGAAGAAGCATAATATGTGTTTACAAATTAAAAGCAAAGAAAAAAAAATAGGAGAGTAACAGGATGGTATCAAAGACAGTGTTACAGTTTTTTTTTTGCAGGGGGGTAATTTTTTATCTTTGAATCAGATTTTTAGCCTAAGTATGTTTAAGTTTCTACACTTGTTGTTTATTCTTGTGATTTCTTGCTTTAAGAAGTGAGGTAAAATTGTTTGAATTTGTTTTTTCATTACAGTCACTTGAGTCTGTAAATGGAAAGAAAACACTGAAAAATGACGGTAAGGAACACATTGCTTGCACTATAAAGAATTGATAGTAATTTGCAACTCTCCATATTTGTTATTCATAATTGACATGCTTTGCACAGGTGTTGTGTGATTACTGAGAAGTTAACTGTATTTCAAAAATAAAATCACTTTAAATTGCAGTGAAAGCTATTACTTCTACAGTTATAAAAGTATCAATGGCAACCCCTCTGAGAACCTTCCCCAGTGTCTGTGATATAGAAGTGTCCACTAAATATAGGTCAATTTATTAGGAAATGTGGGAAGAATAGTATGCAACTGAAAATACAAGTAAGTACCGGAAAACAATATTTAATCCTTGCGAGTAATCTCAGAACAACTGTGTGGGGCTGGAAATTAATAGTGCTGGAATACAACAGTAAATCCTGCTGAGAAACTGAGAACAGCTGTGTGGGGCTGGAAATTAAAAGTGCTGGAATACAACAGTAAATCCTGCTGAGAAACTGAGAACAGCTGTGTGGGGCTGGAAATTAACAGTGCTGGAATACAACAGTTAACTCCTGCTAAGAAACTGAGAACAGCTAAGAGGGGCTGGAAAATAACAGTGCTGGAATACAACAGTTATCTGCTGCTGAAATTCAGAAACAAGAACCTTTTATAAATACTTTCGTAAAACAATACACTGGGCATGCTGTAATATCTTCCATTGCCTCAATTCTAGTTACTTGTAGAAAGGTCATCTCTGAACCATTAAATAGGATCTGTTTTGCCAGTTATGGAAAGAAAAACTCTTAACCCTTTAACCCCTAAGAGTGACCAGCTTCTAATATCTCTTACAATATCACCCCTGAATCAAACATTTAGGTCATGAGAATCAAGGAAATGACCAACAGCTTATGAAGCTCTTGATTTTTAAACAAATTATTTTTGTCAGGGCTTCAGGAAATGTATAGAGAACAGTAAGGAGAATATGCATACTGATGTTAGAGTGTAAAGGGATTAATAAATAAATGTATGTTAAATGTAGCAATCCTATATAGCTATTACTTATTCACAAATACTATATTTTATTTGGCAGATTGTAGTTGCAATGGATGCCAGAAATATTTTTCTGAAAAACTGGTGTAGTGTTGTCATTCAGACATAGAGAGACTATTCCTTCTTCACTGCCAAAGGCTAACTGAACTTTATTGATTAACACGTTACACATATACAAGTATAAGAGTTTACTGACTTGAATTGCAAGTAGTACATTTACTGAATTAAGTACAAAGTGCTCACCTTAGAACCCATATTAAGGTGGTTGTCAATAATTAAGATAGGTACATGTATAATCAATACACTACAACTGGCAGATACAGTTTCTATTGTACTCCAGTATATACATCTTTCCCAAAAGATTGTATTTCTTTAGAGAAGAATGAAAACTTAAAAGCATTCTTTAATCAGTATAAAAGACGGTTTTTTGAACGACGTAGTCTGAAAAGACCAGTCTACACACTAAAACTTAACCAAGAAGGTAAGATTGTCCGTGACAAAAATGGCATCCTTGTTGTTTTGGTCAACAGTTATGTTCAAGGAGAACTTAAGACTACAAAGCAACTTCTCCACAGAGAGGCTGTAGATGGTGTATTAAGCAGTTTAGACTACATTAAAGGTGTCCTTGGAGAGGATACTTGCCTCCGGGTGAATGCCTTGAGTAGGCTATTCAATCAAAAATATGCATTTAAGGGTATTTCAACCTTATTAGGGCCTTCTTGGCTTGATGCTCAACGTGTCAGATTAACAACCCCTTTCCAAAGTGAGTGCTTCCCCCTCTTGTCCCCATTAGATCTTTTCGCCCCTATTCCAGACTACAGTGTGACCTTATTGATATCGCCCCAAAGAAGCACTGTAGTTTTATGCAGAATAATCGTTGGAGCTACCGTTACATTCTAACAGTCAAGTGCTGTTTCTCGAAGTTTTTGTTGGCTGTTCCCGTTAAAAGCAAAGCGTGCAGAAGAAGTGTATGCCATTCTGAAGGCCTTGTTCATCAAGGAAGGGTCACCCACTGTAATTCTGTCAGATAATGGCGGTGAATTCATTGGAGAGGAAGTGCCAAAGCTTAGCAGAGAATTTGAAGTTTGCATGGTTCATGGTAGGCCACACCACCCACAGTCTCAAGGCCAGATAGAAAATCTCAACAAGCAGGTCAAAAGGTTACTTGCAAGGTTTTTACAACAGTTGCCTAGAGATCTTCAGGCCAATGTCTGGCCTTTAAAGACCTTTTGAATTGCAAGTGACACAGCACAATTAATGATATGCCTTTTCGAATATATAAGAACCGTGAACCTTCATGCTTGGTGGACTACATCATCCCGGGTGATAGTATGTGGACAGAAAGTATTAACCATGGTTGCCTTGAGGATTATGAATTTTCATCACAAGATTTCATCGAACTTGAGAGACATGGGGAAAGCACTTCCGTGGATAAATCTAAATTAGAAGAGATAACAGAGGCCATCCTGCAAATTTCTTCTGAGACCATATTATTGTTCTCATTGGGTGTTTCAGCTAAGCAGCTGTCAGCAGCTGTTAAGAAGATAGTCCAAGGAAATTCACATTCTCCACCTTCTCCCAGTCACAACAATATCCTACTTCGATCAGTGGATTCAGAGGCAGAATTCCAGACAGAGAGCATCACGAAATACCTCTTCAACTTGAGTGAAGAATACAAATCTAAGATGGTGGATGTCCTTGAAGCAACAGAACACACCATTCAAAAGAATCACAAACGGGCTCTTAAGAGGGCTAAAGAGCGAGACTTTAAGGTGAGAGACAAAGTTCTCTTCCAAAATCCATGTTCAGAAGGGTTGCATTTTTCAAAGCCAAAAGTGTTCCAGGAAAGGACCTACTACCGGTATGTTCAATTTGTTACTGGGATACCTGTGGTAGCCCAGTCATAAAATGCCTTTGTTTTTTTGTCCTTTTTTTTCCTCCGCCACAAAGTGGAAAAATTGCGCAATAGTAACTAGCGTTCATTGGGCCCTCAACACCATGACAACTAACTGTGATTCAATGAGGTGTTCACATGCTGATCACGCGTGTTATCTTGATGATGATTGACGTTGTCATGCACAGACAGGGCCGGGTCACATGACGAATCACGAGATTTTTGCTTATAAAGTTCTTTTATCAGTCGTTTTGTATTTCAATGTATTTAGATTGCGATCTCCTGGAGCATTATGGCGCAAACGCTCAAAATATTTACAGACGCATATACAAGTCGTATTATTCGCGGCCAATCCACACTAAAAGACGTTCACTTGTTGTAAAAAGCAAAATCTGAAACCAAACTGCATATACTTTGTGCAATCTATTGAACAACACTACTACCGTGAGAGTGAAGAACATAACTATAATGGATACAAACTGCTTGTGAAGGAAGACGCCATGTTGGATTCACTAGATGGCAAGGAACGTAGCTACGATAACAGTACGAATGGTAATAATTTCACGATCAGAAAGGTGAATCTTATGTTTGTTTTTATTGTAGTTGTATGGATATTCTTTTTTAATAAATACGTGATCCAAAACCCTGTGTTTTTTGTGTATAATGTTATTATGTTAAGTATTGTTACGCAATTGTCCTGTCACAGACAGCCCAAGCTCACTTCTCGAGAAAAAGCCAACGATTAATTCATGAACGCGTCACGCGTTGTGTGACTCGGTGTTAAGTTACGAGAGGAACCGTTGGAAATTTGAACACGTTATAAGGAATAGTATAGGGAACGAAGTATGGTCGATTTACAACTATAAATATTTCGAAATATGAACATTTTTCTCGTAAAATCAATAAAACTTACTCATACCCAGTGTATCCGTTGTATTTTCTGGCGATTTCTGCCGTTTTAAGCTTGCTTTACTATCACTGTTATTCACGTCATCTACTTTTATTACGTTGGCAAAATCTGTACAGACATCACACCAACTAACTCGCCCGCAAAGTAAGAAGACTTTATTGAAGGCTTGAAATAATATTGCGATCGATTTTCATCAAGAAATGGGCCAGGAATATTCCACAATAGTGCAAATAATCGTGAAGGGTCGGTCCGTATGGTGAAAAACTGTGACCTCGGTCTTGAAAATGCTGCTCTCGGCCTACGGCCTCGGGCAGTATTTTCAAGACCTCGGTCACAGTTTTTCACTATACGGACCTCCCAGCCGGCAAATAACATATATATATTCTAACGTGCCGAATGAATTTTTCAATGAATTCCAGAAAAACAGAGTAAGTTATAAGAATTTATAGCGTAAGTGGAGTATATCCTAAGTTGTCATATCTAATCTTTACCCCGATTTTCCTTTTTTTTTTAATGAAGTAATTCAAGAAAAACAGGGTAAACTCTGAGAATCCATGCTACAAGTGAACAATACCCGAAGTTCCCAAATGCCATCTTTGCCTCGATTTTCCATTTTTTTTGTGAATTCTAGAGAACAGTGGAATATAACCTAAGTTGTCATGTCAAATCTTCCCTGATTTTCCTTTTTTTAATGAATTAATTATACGAAAACGGGGTAAACTCTGAATTCATGCTACTAGTGGATAATACCCGTAGTTCCTTTATGCCATCTTTATTCTGGTTTTGCAATGTTTTTTTCAAGGAATTATAGAAAAAACGGGGTAAATTCTAGTAACTCATCCTCCAAGTGGAATATATTCTATTGACTTGCCACATCTAATCTACTTTACCCCGACTTTCCATTTTTTTCAATGAATTAGAGAAAAACGGGGCACATTCTGAAAATACATCTTCCAAGTGGAACTTATCATGTTTATCCTACTGACTTGCCAGATCCTGCCTTTACCCGATTTTCCATTTTTTTTCAATAAATTCTAGAAAAACGGGGTAAATTCTGAGAATTCACGCTACACGTGGATAATACCCTAAGTTCCCATATACCATCTTTATCCCGATTTTCCATTCCTTTTTTAAGCGGTGAATTTTAAGATTAGCGTTAATCGTTAGCCTCCCAAAATAAAGCGATACGCAATAACTTAATTGTAATTAGGAGTTTTTATAACGCACGCTTTCAGTTATTATCAACTTCCATAGAAATTCAAAACTTAGGCACAACAACGTGCCATATAATGTATTCTTCCTCTTTAATTGTAGTCATTCCCTAAAGAAGTCTCAGTTAGAGACGAAACGCGTCCGAAATAAACGAGAAGCTTACAACTACAAAAAGTGTTTCTTTGTGCGGCTCGCTAGTCTTAGTTAAAAATGAAAGATAGAAAAAATTACAAATTTTAAAAGAAGTTTATGTTCTTAGTGAATTCTAGAAAAGCGGGGTAAATTTTGAGAATTCGTCCTTCAAGTGGAATAGATCCTAGGGTGCCAAAGCCAATGTTTAACCCGATTTTCCATTTTTTTTTCAATGAATTCTAGAAAAACGGTATGAATTTTAAGAATTCGGCCCGCAAGTGGCTAATACCCTCAGTTCCCATATGCCATCTTTACCCTGATTTTCCATTTTATCGGTATATTTTAAAAAAACGAGGTAAATTCTGAGCCTTCATGCTACAAGTGGATAATAGCCGAAGTACCCGTACGCTATCTCTACCCCGATTTTCCATTTTTTTCAACAAAAACAGGGTAAAATCTAAGAATTCATCCTCCAAGTTGAAAAGATCCCAAGTTGCCATATCCAATCTTCAACCCGATTTTCCATTTTTTTCAATGAATTCTAGAGAAACGGGATTAATTTTGCGAATTCATCGACAAGTGGCTAACACGCTAAATTCCCATACGCCATCTTTACCCTGATTTCCCATTTGATCGGTGAATTCGAGAAAAACAGGGTAAATTCTGAGAATTCATGTTACGAGTGAATAATACCCAAAGTTCCCATATGCTATCTTTACCCCGAATTTCCATTTTTTTTTTCAGTGAATTTGGCAAAAAACGGGGTAAAATCTGAGAATTCATCCTTCAAATGAAAAAGATCCCAGGTTACCACATCCAATCTTTAAGCCGATTTTCCATTTTTTTCAATGAATTCTAGAAAAACGGGATAAATTCTACGAATTCATCCGCAAGTGGCCAACACGCTAAGTTCCCATATACCATCTTTACCCAGATTTTCCATTTGATCAGCGAATTCTACAAAAACGTCTAATAAAAGACTGTTTAACTTTGAAAACTGTAAGTCAAAAGATTCCAATGCTGCTTTCCATACTGGGACACTTAAATGTCAAAGCTGGGACACTTTAATGGCCGTTTTTAAGTATCTTGATCACTGGGAAAGGGGAGAGAACATTTCCTACCGGCGGTCAAAAACTAACAACAACACTGAGTCTGGTAACAGTAAAGGCAGACTTCTACCAAAAAAAGGGAGAGCTAGATCTCTAAGGCCCCTTGATAAATTTTTTATAGTCATGTGTAGGCTAAGGCAAGGATTCCCAGAGGACCATATAGCTCAATTATTTAATGTATCAGCATCCACTGTAAGTAGAATATTTATCACATGGTCAATTTTGTTCTTTAAGCTTAGACAAATAAACATTTGGCCCAGTAGAAAAGTAGTCAATACAATGCCTGTATCTTTTGAGGGAAAGTACAAATCTACTAGAGTCATAATTGACTGTACCTAGGTTAGATGTCAAATGCCAAGCAGCTTGCGGTTGAGTTGAGTCCTTTTCAGTGCTTACAAAAATCACACAGCTTTGAAAGGTTTGGTCGGTATTTCTCCCGCTGGAGCAGTGACATTCAGAAGTCAATTGTATTCAGGTTCTATCTCCAATTGGGAAATTGTTAGGAGTGGATTTTTAAATCTACCATTTGATGACAAAGACTCCATTATGGCAGGTAAGGGATTCACAGTTTAGGATTTGTTGCCTTTGGGAGTCAGTTTAAATTTGCCACCTTTTCTTGGAGCATCTTCACAGATGGCTGCAGAAGATGTGGTAAAAACACAGGAAATTGCAATTTTACGGATACATGTTGAACCTGCCTTCAACAAGATTAAGAATTTTTACATCTGGGAGAGTTGTTCCACTGCATCATATGGGAATTGTAAACCAGATGTGGGCAGTGTGCGCATTCTGTTGTAATGCACAACCTAACATAATATCAATGTGAATATCACATTCACGTGAGGCATGAATTAATTACTTGATCCATAAATTGCCGACAAATCTCTTCTCTCCCTTAATTGTAAGGGACTACAAATTGGGCATTAAGATAAAGAAAACATTTTCCCCTCTGTTCTGACTATTTATTGAAAGGTTTACATCATAATAACATCTTTTGTGTCTGTGAAGACCATGTTGACCATGTCATCTATGTTGTGTTTAAATTATCTTTGGTGCAAAATGTTTAAACCAGTTTGGTTTTAGTTTCCTTTGTATTCTTTGTATTCAAACTGGTTGGAAAAATTTTAACCCACAACAAATTAAAACTACAACAACAATAAGAATTATTCATGTAAGGTATGAATTCCCAGTCAAGAGGCAAATTCACGAAAATTAAGAATATCTGAATGTAGAAGCATGGTATTACCAATTCTGCTAAAAAAAAACAGAGATGTCAGAAATTTGCAGCTCATGGCGACACTGTCCTGGTCATCTAAATCCTGCCGACTTGCCCTCGCGTGGTTTAACAGCTAAAGCCCTCGTAGCATGCGAAACGTGGTGGAAAGGCCCAAAATTCCTATACCTTCCCAAATCCAAATGGCCCGAGAATCGAGCGACCCAGTCCAAAGATGAAGTCACACTCAAAGAAGTTGTCATGAAGCCACCAGCTATTGTCCACTCACTAGTGAATACCTTAGTCAACATGCCAGAGAAGAAGAAGATCGACCAGACAATTGATATCAACCGATTTCACGATCTAGCGAAATTGCTTCGTGTGACTGCTCTGGTTGTCAAGGCTGTCAGGTCTTTCAAGAGTCAAGTTACTAATAAGGAGAGTACCGAGAAGGAACGAATGAGATTAAACGCAGCAGATTTAAAAGAAGCCGAACAGCTGTGGATCAGATCAGTTCAAGGGTCAGCCTTCTCCAAAGAAATCGCATTTCGTCTGAGTAAAGTTCACAGCTCTACCCCTCCAGCGTTCGTTACACGGTTTGGATTGTTCTTAGACGATGGCATCATCAAGCGTAACGAGAGATTGAACAATGCGCCGTTACCTTTGAACACGAGGAACCCCATTCTACTACCAGCGAAGCACGAATTCACCTGTTTATTGATCGAGCAGTCCCACGAGTCTGTTAAGCACATTGGCATAAGAGACACGTTTACGACACTACGATAACGTTATTGGGTACTGCGTGGACGTGAGGCAGTGAAGAAATTCACCCGAAGTTATGTAAATTGTCGCAAACACGAAGGAACGCCGTACGGCCCTTTACCTCCTGCCGACCTACCAAGTAACCGAGTTTCCGAGGATCCTCCATTTACACATATTGGCCTCGACTTTTCCGGACCGTTGTACGTTGAAATTAAGAATTCAGAAGACGAAATCAAGGAATCACAGAAAGTCTATGTTTGCCTCTTCAAGTGCGCATCCACCCGAGCTGTACATTTGGAACTTACACGAGCCCTTAGTGCTGAATCGTTCCTACTTGCATTCCGAAGGTTCACTAGTCGAAGAGGACTACCGGCTACCATCACTTCCGACAACGCCAAGACGTTCAGATCTTCATCTCAAGACGTACGAAAAATAGCCCGAGCAGAGGAAGTTTGGTGATACTTTGCGAAAAAGCAAGTTTCATGGAATTTTATTATCGAAAAGGCTCCGTGGTGGGGAGGATTCTGAGAACGACTTGTGAGAAGCATCAAGGAACCTTTGAAGGAGATCCTAGGGAGATCGGATCATGTGTACTATAGGTGGACTCGGTCGACATATCGGGCGACAGTCAACCGATATATCGGTCGACTATCGACCGACTATCGACCGACTATCGACCGACTATCGGTCGATAGTCGACCGATAGTCGACCGATAGTCGACCGATTGTCGACCGATAGTCGACCGATGGTCAACCGATATATCGACCGACTGTCGGCCGATGCATCGACAGATATGTCGCGATCAACTGCCGGTCAAGTATCGGTCAAGTATCGGTCAAGTATCGGTCAAGTATCGGTCAAGTATCGGTCAAGTATCGGTCAAGTATCGGTCGAGTATCGGTCAAGTAGCGGTCAAGTATCGGTCAAGTAGCGGTCAAGTGTCGGTCAAGTATCGGTCAAGTAGCGGTCAAGTATCGGTCAAGTATCGGTCAAGTATCGGTCAAGTATCGGTCGAGGATCGGTCAAGTATCGGTCAAGTATCGGTCAAGTATCGGTCAAGTAGCGGTCAAGTAGCGGTCAAGTATCGGTCAAGTATCGGTCAAGTATCGGTCAAGTAGCGGTCAAGTATCGGTCAAGTATCGGTCAAGTATCGGTCAAGTATCGGTCGAGGATCGGTCGAGGATCGGTCAAGTATCGGTCAAGTAACGGTCAAGTATCGGTCAAGTATCGATCAAGTATCGGTCAAGTGTCGGTCAAGTGTCGGTCAAGTGTCGGTCAAGTGTCGGTCAAGTATCGGCCAAGTATCGGCCAAGTATAGGTTCACTTACCGACCATATCGCTCAGAAGAAAATAGGCTAAGAAAGAGTGCGAGGTTCTTTCGATATATGTTCCGATTTGGTAATGGAAAAATACATTGTAAAGTTGGTGGATCATGTGTACTATAGGTGGACTCGGTCGACATATCGGGCGACAGTCGACCGATATATCGGTCGACTATCGGTCGAATATGGGTCGACTATTTATTTTTTTAAATATTAATATTATTTTTTTTATTTATTTTTTTTCGGTCGACTGTCGGCCGATATATCGGTCGACTATCGACCGATAGTCGGTCGACAGTCGACCGATAGTCGGTCGATTCGGTCGATTGTCGACCGATAGTCGACCCATATTCGACCGACAATCGACCGACTATCGGTCGACTGTCGACCGACTATCGGTCGATAGTCGACCGATATATCGGCCGACAGTCGACCGATAAATGTGTCGACCGATATAGTCTTAAACCATCGATCCTCGACCGATACATTACCGATACTTGACCGATACATGACCGATACTTGACCGATACTTGACCGATACTTAACCGATACTTGACCGATACTTAACCGATACATGACCGATACTTGACCGATACATGACCGATACTTGACCGACACTTGACCGATACTTGACCGACACTTGACCGATACTTGACCGATACTTGACCGATACATGACCGATACTTCACCGGTACTTCACCGATACTTGACCGACACTTCACCGATGCTTGACCGACACTTCACCGATAATTCATTGCCCCCCGAGGGGGGGAGGGTTTATTCCACGATAAAAGATATAAAACTCTAATAAGTAATACGATTGCCTCATAATTTAGATGTAAATTGCGTGTCTGGAATCCAGTTTTAAATTTCTCTTGTGCCGGCCATAGCGCGTATCGTCTCCGGCAGCGAATTCCAAGTCCTTACTGTAACGAGAGCACACTCGTAGATCACGTGCACCTCAGGTGACACATGATACAGCGGTCGATGTTATCTAATCGCAAAAGGTTTTAGATCACATATATCTACATGAGAGCGCACTTAGTTTACAAATAAAGACTGTTCGTTACCTAGAAATCGTGTGTTTATGGTAGAACGAAACATGGTACCAGGAGTGTAGCCTCTTCGACACGATGACAACTACACCACCTCAAGGTTCAGCGAGTGTTCAAGCGCCGACGCCATGTTATGGAATACAAAGCAATTTACCAATTCCGTCGCGATTGAATTTGGCAGGAAATATTTCAGAAAACTGGAAGAAGTGGAAGCAAGTGTGGGATTCGTTCGAAATCGCCTCACGTCTTAACCAGCAAGAAGATAAATACCGTGTAGCTACTTTCATTACCTGCATTGGAACCGAAGCCCTCGAAGTCTACAATGGTCTTCCGTTCGAAAAAGAAGAAGACAAGGACGTAATGAATACAGTTCTGGAGTTGATGGAGAGGCATTGCATTGGCCAAACAAATGTCATTTACGAGCGATACTGCTTCAATAATAGAAAACAAGAAAGCGGCGAATCATTTGACACGTATCTCACAGCGCTCAAAACTCTCGCGAAAACGTGCATTTTTGGTCCACTCACCGACGAATTAATTCGTGATAGGATCGTCTGTGGAATTTGTGACACGGGAACTAGGAAGAAATTACTACAAGAGCCCAAATTAAATCTTCAGAAGTGTATCGATGTATGTCGATCAGCCGAAACAACTGCATCGCAAATGAAAGTCATGAGTGGAAGAGAAGAAGTCAACGCACTCAACCACAAAGAGAAAAAAGACGGCAGAGACGCCAGTCCTAAGTTAGTTAATTGCAAATACTGCGGCAGAAAACACGAGAGATCAAGAGATAAATGCCCAGCGTTCGGAAAAGAATGTGCGAAATGCGGCAAAACAAATCACTTCGCCAAGCTATGTAAACAGAAACTTGGTGGGCGACAACGAAGAAAAGAACGGATTCACCGAGTGCGAGACGCAAAAACTTGGCAGGATTCGAGCGATGAAGAGTACTGCTTCACGATTTCATCCCAAAATCTGGAAGAACAAAGTGTCAAAAGTGTCAGTAGTCAACCCATCAAATCGAAAATCTTCGCAACCATGGAGATCAAAGGTCATCCCGTTCGTTTTCAAGTCGACAGTGGCGCCACCTGTAATGTGATAAGCAAAAACGATTTACCGAACGAGTGCCCGATCGCGCATTCGAAACAAGTCCTCAGCATGTTTAACGGATCGAAAATGGAAACCATTGGTAAATGTCGTGTTAATCTGGTAAATCCCAAGGTTGATGAAGAATGCGAAACAGAGTTTGTTGTTGTCAATAACGACTGCACGCCACTGTTGGGTTCCAAAACGGTGCAGAAAATGAAATTAATCAAAGTGCGTTACGAGAATATCTCATTGGTACAAGAAAAGACAGAAGCAATGGGCCTAACGATGCAACAAATAGCAGCAGATTTCCATGACGTTTTCACTGGAGAAGGAAAATTTGAGAAGAAACTTCACTTAGAGTTGGACACAACCATTGAACCAGTGAAACAGCCTGTTAGAAGGATTCCAGTGGCAATGAAACCCAAGTTAAAGCAAGAGCTCACTCGTCTCAAAGAACTTGGTGTTATCAAAGCAGTTGACACTCCAACAGATTGGGTCTCAAGCTTGGTACTTGTTAAGAAGCCCAACGGCAAGCTTCGCGTGTGTATCGACCCTCAGCCACTAAATAAAGCTTTGAAACGCAGCCACTACCCTCTTCCGGTTATCGACGATCTCCTGCCGGACTTGTCAAAAGCTAAAGTCTTCAGTGTGTGTGACGTTAAAAACGGGTTTTGGCATGTCGAGTTAGATGAAGATTCAAGCTATCTAACAACGTTTGGCACTCCATTTGGTCGGTACCGGTGGCTGAAGATGCCATTTGGCATATCACCCGCACCGGAATATTTCCAACATCGTTTGGATCAAGCCATCGAAGGCCTTCCCGGTGTGCGCACAGTTGCAGACGACATCCTCATCTCGGGTGAAGGTGACACTGTGCAAGAAGCAGTGAAAGATCACGACAAAAAAACTGCTAACTCTACTTGAAAGGTGCCGCGAAAAGGGAGTGAAACTGAACAAGGAGAAGTTCAAGTTGAAGATGACAGAAATCCCCTACGTTGGTCATGTGTTAACAAGAGATGGACTAAAACCAGACCCATCCAAAATAGACGCCATCAAAGGCATGAGGCGACCAACAGATGTGAAAGGTGTACAGCGGCTTGTTGGTCTAGCGAATTACCTGACGAGATTCTTAAAAAAGCTGGCAGACATTTGCGAACCTCTGCGACAGCTAACGCGCAAGGATGCAGAATGGCACTGGAGCGACGTCCATGAGAGCGCCTTTAAGAAGATCAAAGAAGCAGCTTCCCAAGCACCTGTCCTCCGATACTTTGATCCCGCCAAAGAGACTGTACTTCAATGCGACGCCTCGGACACTGGACTTGGAGCTACGCTTTTACAAAATGGTCAGCCAGTGGCATACGCATCGCGATCCCTGACGGATACAGAACGCAACTATGCGCAAATAGAAAAAGAACTGCTAGCCATAGTGTTTGGAGCCGAGAAGTTCAACCAATACACTTATGGTCGCAAAGTGATTGTTGAGAGCGACCATAAACCACTTGAAGTTAATTACCGCAAACCTCTCGTGGCCGCCCCCAAGCGTCTACAACGAATGCT